AGGTATAAGAAGAAGAAGAAGAAGAAAAAGACGAGGAAAAAGAAGATGAAGAAGAAGATGAGAGGGGGAGGAGGAGGAGGAGAGAAGAAGACGCAGAAGAATAAGAGGAGGAGGAGGAGGGAAGAAGAAGAAGAAGAAGAAGAAGATCAGACCGGCAGTCTTCGTCGACGGGCGGCAGTGGATGCTGGCAGGGAGCAGCACGACGATGGACGACGGGGGGCGACGGGTCACGGCGACGGCGATGGCGATGGCGACGACTCGCAGCTGCTTCGACGAAGGAGGGACGCAATGACGAAGGCAGGCGGCTGGAGGAAGGGCCCCGTTTCGAAAGCCGATGTAGACCGCCCCAGGCAATCGCATGTTCAAACGAGGCATTGCTTTTCCCTCCAAAAAAACGAATGGCCCTCTGGCCGTCGATCATGGATGATCGACGGCCGGAGGGTCGTCAAAAATTAAAAAAAAAAAAGCAGGCCTCACGGGCCCGACGCGCCGTTTTCTAGGCGTGGTCGGACCCGGTAGGCCCTGCCAACAACAAATGGAGCCGATTCGGGGTCGAAAACCCCCCGCCGTTAAGGTGTGCTGGGGGGGCCCAGACCCCAACCGGGCCGCCCGCCCGGCCAGGCCGCTCGGGACCTCCCCCGGGCAGGCACCGGTTAGCCGGGCGGCCCGGATCCGTACACAGGTTTATTTCGGATTTCTGATGCTGATGCGTTATTAGGTTTAAAGCAGTCTTTTGTTTAAATCGACATTCTGATTTTCAATTCGGAATTTCGTTTTTAATTTTGGCATTCTGTTTTAAATCCTGTATTTCGTTTTTCTCAATCGGAATTTCCGTTTTATTTCGGTATTGGAAATTAGGGTTACGATAGATTTCGGTTTTGTTCAAATTGGGAAATTCGAAGGTTTTGGAACCGTAATACCGGAAATTCCGCGGAATCGCGGAAAATTAGGGTTGGACTCCGAAATTTTCGCGAATTTTTTTTCTTTCCCTAAGTTTGAAAATTTTCGAAAACGGACTTAGGCGTTTAAAAACCGGATTTTGTAGGTTGAAATTCTCGAAATTTTACGTTTTTCGAAAATTCGAGTGTTTTTCTTCCTAAATTTTCGAAAATGTTTTTGGCAAACTGTTCGTAATTGTTCCCCCAGAATCGCAACTTCCGAGTAGTTCACTATTCAACGGTGAACTCCCGGACTATAGATGATCTCAACGGATACCTAATCGTTATAATTTCAATTCGGCAATTATCATTATTGCAAATATTTTTTTTTTTGATTATTATCAAGAAGTATTAATTCATTATTAATCATTAATTAAACTTTATTGATTATTAATTAGTTATTATTTTCTTATTACGAATTTTGGAGTTGTTTTCGGGGAAGGTTTTTTATTTTTTGTTTAATTAGGTGTCTAAAGTCCATCATTGGGACAGGGACTGTATGCGAATTGCCTAATCTATTTTACCCCTGTACCCACCCTCTCCCTTTCACTGTTCTGCGACCATTCGGACGAGCCAGCCTTCAGCAGCAGTACACTGATGCCAGCAGGGCAAGCCACCGAACAGCAGCCACGACGCAGCAGGAGGATCGCAGAGCGCCAACAGCAACAGCAACCTGCAGTTCGACAGCAGCCACAGACCAGCACTCAGATGGCGAGCACGCCGAACAGCGGGACGTCATCCGAGACGTCGACATCGAGCAATGCCGAGCCATTGCCGGTCTGTCCTGCTTAAGGGCCGAATGAGCCCATCGCAGACTACATTCAGAGAGTGCAGACCTATACGGCCGCACTAACCCTTGCCAAGGAACGGCAAGATGCCGCCGAAGCAGACAAACAAAGGCTAGCAGCAGAAGTTGCAGCCCGTGCCCAGCAACAAGCTGAGGCGGCGCAGTTGGCGACCGACCAGCTCAACGCTGACAGTGCCAAGCTTTTGATCTCTCAACAAGATCAGTGGACAGCGGTACTCAACGGGATGCGTTATGTCCCCGTAGCAGGCGCCGAGCCAACGGCAGTACAACAGGAGAGACAAAACCTGGCAGACATTCTACTCAATACAATGCGTGCCGTCATCTGGAACAACACCATGGGGGAACTTCATTCCAGATCTACACAGCAGCTACAAAACGATCTCACCCATAACGTGAAGACGCTGGCAGCAGCCGTTAAGGTCGTGGACTGTCAGCTGAAACATATGGACGCCCGCATTGCTACTCTGGAAGCAAGGCCTTCCCAAGCGGCGCCAGGCTGCACAACAGACACGACGAAGCAGCTCAACGGGCGCATCGACCATGTCGTCAATCTCATCGGCGACCTAGGTGCTTTCACTGGTACGGACACGATCAGCAGCACGGTGGCCGCCATCAAGACGGACATCACCAAGCTGCAGACAAGACCGGACGCCGCTACAAAGAACTACAAGATGCCGCACTTCAACATCAGCAAGTTCGACGACAACAACAAAACAGAAGCCTTGACATGGTGGCAAGGTTTCCTCACGGAAGCATCCTGTCGCACTGTCCCAGCTGAAGACATGTAGAAGGCGCTCTACTGACAACTGATTGGAGGAGCACAGGCATGGATGAACCACCTCGCGGCCACCAAGCAATGCACCATCGCCGAACTCCACACGCACATTACGTGGAAGGAGTTCGAGCAACTATGGTTCACTCGATTCATGGTCCGCAACGTCGTGAAGGCGGCCATGAACGAGGTGTACACCAGCTCACAAGGAAGCATGCCAACTCGAGACTGGACAATCAAGTGGCAGAAGATAGTGACCACGCCAGGCTTCGATTTGAGCTTTCCAAACCAACGATCCGAGTTTTTCTCGCGATCGTGCGCAGGACTGAGGTCGGTACTCGGCAACGAGTACGACTATGCCTCTTTCCAGGCTATTCTGGA